AGCAGTGACAAACAAACAATAAATTATTGAGATTTATTTAATTTTACCAAAATAAAATGGTGCTCTTTCAGTCAAATATATTTCATACTTGTTAAAACTATAAAATACGAAATATAAATGTGAAATTGGACGGAGTCAAAACTCATATTTATTTTAAGGGACTTCTTTCTCGTGTTTCTTTCAGCTCCATTTCTGACAGTTAGTATTTCAAATCGCTATTTATGATAAAAGCTGTAGATTAAATAATATTCTAACACTTTCGGAGATTACTCTTTTATAAAGAAATTAGGCCGGAAGCGTGATATATTTCTCATTCTAACAATCCTCGTGATTTTGTCACTATAGACAAAGAAGAAGAAAAACGGTGTTAAACTGTCATTAAACATTGGTTAGGGACTACTTGTATATACGGCTGTTATGTTTTCTCCCTCGATTATATAGTTTACAAAGCTTTTTAAAGCATCAATAAAAGGGCATTTTTATTGATATTTTCCGTTCTTATAATGTTTTCTTTTCAAACAATACCGAGATAATTTCTCACATACACTAACGCCACAGGTTTGATCCATATCAGTTAATAATTATTTTGACAATTCGGCGCCAATCCGTAAGCAGCGAAATGACGTCCTCTTAAGTATACAACTCATTCATAAACGCTTTTCATTTCAAACATTCAAAGAAATTATGATAAATTGGGTACTGATGTGAACAACCCATTGTAAGACATAAGTTTTTATTGTTGAAATGATAAAATAATTATTTTTCTTTTTTTCCCCTTTAATTTCTATATCTTAGCAACTGTAGGGTGCGAAATCAAACAGCGATATAAGCAAATCGGCACCGAAAGTTATTTCCGCTTGATGAAATAAATTAGTGATCTTTCTTATTTTATCTTGTTAGGATCGATATTATATCGGCTGAGTGGTGTTTATCGGTTATTTAACACCGGTCTTGACGTTTTGATTGGAAAGAATTAACCTACGGCCTTCATGGTCAATTCCTACGCATCAAAACTCAAAACCGTTGTTAAATAGCCGATAAACACCAATAAGACCGATATTATTTCTTTAACAATGCACTTGCCGTTTATATTTCCTCCCTTTGAATTTTCAAACCGGCACTATGACGGCGCGATTTGGTTAGAAAATCTGATAGAAATACAAACAACTTTTGTTGATTTTTTTTACAAAAAACTATTTAGAATCATAGAAAATGGGCTAACTAAGAAAATAAATCCAAACCACGGAGGAGGAAGTGTTACACGAATGATGGAGTTCTTATGATAACTTGTTTGGAGTTCTTATGATAACAGCCACGGAATTCCTGGAAAACGTTACGGATTTCTGTGGAAAACTTTTCTATATACTTGGAGAACTTGCCTAAAAAATTATCAAAGTTTAATTTAGCACCTCAAACTCCCCATTTAAAGTTGAAAATAACCATTTTTTAGGCGAGTTCTCCAAGTATATAGAAAAGTTTTCCACAGAACTCCAAACAAGTTATCATAAGAACTCCATCCTTCGTGTAAGACTTTGGCAAAATCAATCAGATCAAGAACGCTGTTTCAACGCCGCAAACTAATTACATTTCACATTTATTTCAGTTAAATACTTTGCACTTAGAGTGAAATAAAACAAACACAAAAATTTAAACAACGTTCAAAATTCATTATTCAAAAAAATGTTTCTGCAAACGATAGACTTTGTGGCGCCGTTATATGTCGCAACGCCGCTAAATGTCGCACTTGACGCTAAATGTCGCACCATTGCCGCTAAGTATCACATTTCTGATAGTTTGATGCCGTTGGAATAAATGCAAGACTTTGACGATATGTAGTCTCAAAGGATGATTGTATTTTAGAAAAAAAGCTCAAGGTATCGCCTAGTATCGTGGTATGTAAAGGTACATAATTTATCGCCAGTAAGTAAAATGGTAGGTCATTTTAGCTCGACTATGCGGAGTATATGGAGAGCTGTCCTATTCGTCCCGGCGTCGGAGTCCGCGGCCAGATTTTAGATTAAAGTTTTGGTGCAGTAAAATATTTTTCACTATAACTTTTTCATGTCTTAGAGTATCAACTTCAAACTTCAAATATATGTTCCTTATTATCAACCACATCTTATGTTACAAGGTTCATAACTCTAGCACCAATATTTTCAGATTTATCTCCCCTTGAACTTAGAATTTTCCTTAAAAAATATTATTTTTTTACTATAACTTTTTCATTCCTTAAGGTAACAACTTCAAACTTCAAATATATGTTCCTTATCTTCAGTCACATCTTATGTGACAAGGTTTTTAACTCTAGCACTAATATTTTCAGATTTAATTCTTCTTGAACTTAGAATTTTCCTTAAAAACTGTTATGTTTTATTATAACGTTTTCATTTCTTAAGGTATCAACTTCAAACTTCAAATAAATGTTTCTTATCATCAGTCAATTCTTATGTGACAAGGTTCATAACTCTAGCACCAATATTTTCAGATTTATTTCCCCATGAACATAGAATTTTCCTTAAAAAAATATTATTTTTACTGTTACTTTTTTATTTCCTAAACGATCAACTTCATACTTCAAGTATATGTTCCTTATCATTAACCACATCTTATGTGACAAGGTTCTTACTCTTAAACCAATATTTCAAGAATTGTCTCCCCATTAACATAGATGTTTTTTACTTGAAAAATGTTATTTTTAACTCTAACTTCTTTAGTTTTAAAAGTATCTACCTCAAACTTCAAATACATATTCATTATCATTAACCAGATCTTATGTGACAAGGTTCATAACTCTTGAAGCAATATTTTTTATTATTAGTTATATCTCCCTTTGAACTTAGATTTTTTTAAGAAATGTTATAACTTCTTTATTTTTTAAGGTATTTTCTTCAAACTTCAAATATATATTTCTTATCATTACACACATGTTGCGGAACAAGATCTACGATATAACTTTAGCGTGACTATTTTTGTGACTATTTTTATAATTATTCCCCATTGAACTTGGAATTGATGTTAACAACTATAACTTCTTTTCATAAGAAGAAATATATTTATATCATAATTATTTTTTTCCATATTTTTGTCTCCCTTACTGCGTCCAGTATTTATTAAGTCGAGCTTCGCTGTCTTCTGTGACAGCTCTTGTTCTATGTCGGACGTAAGTAAACTTAAGAAATAATATATCCCAAACAGTGATTTTATCGCTCAAAAACATCACTGTTTGGAGTTCGGATGCAAGAAATTATATCACGAGGGCGTAGTTGATATTCAGATTGTAGAATGCTCTTACTTGCAGCAATATATACAAAATAAGCAGTCTAATACAAATAGATTTTGTCGGATTTTACGTCAGGGACATGCTGTGACTTTTCAGTCTTACTGGTGAAGAAAGACCTGAGGTGTCCCTCCGTATATTATTTCAGGCACGAACGGGAGCCTGAATAAAACCACCGACGTTCCTTAAACTAGCAAGGGCATCTTCCACAATTAAAGGAATACTAAGTATTTTGCAGGATTCGAACCAACAACGGTGAGGGGCAAGTAGATGGACACACGTCAGTAAAGCAATATACTTAACAGATGATTATGCACATAACATTTAGCGTACTTGCATACTGTAACTTAATCAATCACTTTGGCAGTTTAATTTCATTCAAAAAGAACATTTAAAAAGCATACAAGTATTTTGTCTTGAGTCAGCAGATCCGGACATTCCTTTAGGTCCCAAGTAACTATATATATACAATAATCGACTCTATAATTATTTAAGAAAAAACATTGGCCTGAGAGGTGTATATCGGCTATTAAACACCGGTTTGGAGTTTTGATGCGTAGGAATTGACCACGAAGGCCGCAGGCCTGAGTGGTTAATTTTCTCGCATCAAAACGACAAAACTGGTGTTAAATAGCCAATATACACCTCTCAGGCCGATGTTATTTCTAATAATAAAAATAATAAATGGTCTGGATCACGTCATGCATCTAAAATTATTAATTTATTACTGCGCGCCCGCTGTACAATTGCAGTTGTGAAGCAATCGAGGGATTCGTAATAATAAAAATTAAATAAAAAGTTATCTATTTTTATTTTCGTGAAATATGGCTACTTAGAACACGCATTAGGGGAAACATTTATAGAAATAAAATTTTGTGTTTCAAAAGTTAATTTGAGACCTCGCTTGGGATTGTTTTGGACCTCATAAAGACACGATTAAAGTTCTGTTGTTAAATTAAGGAATGGTTTCAAAATTGAGATATTAAAATCATACTCGGAATAATGTTTGTGCGTGCGTGCGTACGTGCGCGTGTGTGTGGGGGGAATTCATTGTTATAGACTAGCAAGGCCACAGACAATATTTTTTACTTTAGAACACAGGTTAAGCATAATAAATTAAGAGTCAAGTTCAAATTTAGCTTCAACCCACTAATTTTACACATAGATATGCTTTCTTTAAATCTTTTTTCTTGTGTTATGGTAATCAATAAATTGCAATTATTTAGAACACAGACAAAACATCATAAAATATAGCGAGAGGTCGATTTCTAATTTTGTATAAGACCACTCATTTTCAAAATACTTAAAATAAGTAAGGTGGCGAGTGAGGGTTTGATTCATATTCAGTATTCATTTAACAATAAGCCTTTACGAAATTTGCACATGCCGTTGTGACGGGAAAATGAAGTTGGGTTTAAGATTTACTATTTGAGCATAGATGTGTATCTTTTCACTACACCCGAGCACTAAAGTTCAAGATTTTAAGGTTTTCATGTCACTATATCTCAAAAAATCCTTTTTCTTGACTAAATGTTTGGGTTTTGTTCTGAGAGTCATGTGAACAATATTCTAAGAGACATTAATTAAGTAATCTTAATCATACGTCGGGCATGAAATCCAAATGAATTGTGTGTTTCTAAAGCGCAAAAATTTAAAATTTATTCAATCTTTTGTCAAAACTTATTTCAATGATTCAAGTCTAATTTAAAAATCGTTTTTGTAGGTGGATGGACTATCGAGACAACTCCGGAATTCAGAAGCAAAGGTATAATCTTAAACAGCTTAGATTAAAACGATAATTGGATAAGTGATAAATTCTTTCAGTATGATTTTAACAGAACAGATGCTACAAAAAGAATGGCTAGACTTTTTAATATTATATCTAACAAGATGATAATTCATAAAAAAAAGAATATAAGAAAGTTTAAGAGTTAATTGAATTAAATAAATTTTATTTGCAAATTATTTTGTGATAGAAGATTGAGTGGTAATTTAAATGAGTCAATGTTGCGTAAATTTTGAGACTACTGTGTATTGGTCTTTATTGTGATATCCTCACAACATTTTAACATAGTACACTGATCAATACTTGTTAAACGTTTCTTAACTTATTTTGAATCAGGCGATACAATACCAAGAAAAAAGAAATTAAATATCATTAGATAAGGTTTTAAACTAGTTGCATACTGGTCACTCACACTTCTTCATGGTGAGGAACGGGCATCGGGATCCGATAACGTTCGCGAAAAGGCTAAAAAAGATTACTTATAATATACACGAAAACCAAAAGTAACGCTAAGATGAATTGTTCCATGAAAGAAAGAATAAATTAAGACCCAATTAAACAAGCAATTATCAAGCAATTGCAAGCAATACAAAAGTACCCTACCGGTTAGAACCCGGTCAACATTCTGAAGGACCATGGTCATTCAATTATGCAATTGTGGAAAAGATGAATGAACTTTAATCTTTTGAGTTTTTAGTTTATCTTTTGTGTTTATTTAACATATGATAAAGGCCTAATTTTCTCGGGATGAACATGCATAACTAATACTTTAACTTTTCTTCAGTAAAGTGGTTGGAAAAAATCCTATTTCTTTTAGATGTTATCCAATGAAACAGTTTACTGGGAGGGCCAGACAGACATAGCGCAAATTTTTTAACTTCCCTGTATATATCCAGTATATAACATTCTTAAACTAAGGAGGAGATAACTCTTGAAATAATGATGCTAAACTTATGAACAGAATCATACATGATGTGAGTGGTGAAAAACAACAATTATTTCAAATACAATATACCAAGGGTGTTCCAAAAAAATGTTACTCGGGTTGTTCCTTGTGGAAATCGTGCTATATGAACTCAAATCTATTACATGTCAATAGCGTGATACCTGGAGAGTAGTATTGGCCAATATCTCCCTCGCAATTACACTGACCTTGGTACTGTGTACATTGTTTTGCAGCGTGCTCGTTACACTCACACAACTATGGTTGGAAATAGAGCCGAAAATGTGATTGAAATAAGGGCCTATATCACAGGTAGGTCGCTGCTTGGTCTCTGCTAGAATGACAAACTTGCCTTTAGCACGTGTTAATTGCATTTTAAAGAACATCTTGGGCTTAGTAAGATTAATTTAAGGTTGATACCACATTTACTAACTGACGACCAAAGAGGTTCCGAGTCGAAAAGGCCAAACTTTTGTTGAAACAATACCCGAAATACAGCAAAATGGCTTTCGGCAATTTGGTCACAGGTGACGAAACATGGGTGTATTTTTTCGAACCCAAACGAAAATGCTCTAATCAAATCTGGACTACCAAAAACGCAAGGCGCCCTAGCATTGCTAAAACAATACGAACCGTGAGAAAGGTTTTCTATGTAATATTCTTTGATAACAAGGGCCAAGTCGTGCAAATTCCTGTGCCGAGGGGTCTGTCTGTCACAGGGGTAGATCTGTCATAGACAAGTACTTCTGCAATTCTTTTGTAATTTTGTTGTGATTAAAAGCTTCCGAGGGATCACTTTGTTTCAAGATTTCTATAGAGACGTTGTACTTCGCAAAGTTAAGAAACACTATAAACGCCGCCCCCCAAAAACATGTTTGAAATACCTAAGACTGGCATGACAATGCGCAAGCTCACAAGGCACGAATTGTAACGGAGTTTTTGAAGGCGAAAAAGGTCACTGTCCTCCCCCACCCCGCCTTTTCACCAGACTTAGCCCCATGTGACTATATCTTGTTCCCCACACTAAAATTTCATCTGTCTGGCAAAAAATACAAATTAAGCAATGCTTTTGGCTCTGCCTTTTACCAGTATCTTATGAGTATACCCATTGAAAAGTACGAAAACTGTTTTATAAAGTGGATTGATCGGCTGAAAACGTGCATTAGGGTAGAGGGGGAATACTTTGAAGGGCAGGGCAAGTTAAAATGGTCTTAACGACTTGAATAAGCAGAAAACACAAAGAAACATTAATTTTGGAACACCCCTCGTATACACCATTTATAGTAACAAAGAAGAAAAATAGATGAATTTAATATATAAAAAATCAAATAAATTCAAATGTTCGAAATGAAAATAATCATGTAAAGACAGGCGCTAGACTAATAAATCAAATCACATATAATGTAGGTATTAATAATGAAAGTTTATTTGAAGTAATTTCGCGAAAAAATAAGAAAGTTATAGAATAAGAAAAGGGAAATTTAAAGTTAACAGCGGAGATTATTCTTGAAATATGGACGGTAGATTTTTAATTCTTGTCATTTTATTAGGATGTGGGAAGATGATGTTTGAAATAAATCCTGTCAAATATGAAGAAAAAAAAGCATTGTATAGGAAAAAAATCTAAGTTCAAGAGGGACATAATTCTGAAAAAACTCAAGCTCATAGTATTGAATCCTCTAATTCATGATTTGAATGATAATGAAGAAGATATATTAGAAGTTTAAAGAAATAAAAAAAAGAAACAATTTATGATGAAAATTCTTAGTCAAGGTGATAATTTTAATAATATAGGTGCTAGAATTATGAACCTTGCTACATTGCAAGTGGGTGATGATTAGATTCATTTATTTAATTTTACCCATGAAATATGGTGCTATATCAGTCAAATAAATTTCATATTTTTTAAAAATAAATATGAAATATAAATATGAAAGTGGGCGGAGTCAAAACTCATATTTATTTTAAGGGACTTCTTTCGCCGTATTGTTTGAAAAATCTGATAAATACAAAACAACTTTTTCTTGAATTTTGTTTTGAAAACTATCTAGCATGATAGAAAATGGTCTAACTAAGAAAATTAATCCGAACACCAATATCTTTAATTCAGTATTTAACGCTTTACAGACGTTTAAAGAGTTGTTTACATGACGTCACAATGTAGCGCCAAACAGCGCGTGCTTACGCATAAATTACTGCGCGCTGTACAATCGCAGTTGGTAACAAGCAAGGGGATTCGTTACCATTTTCTTTGATAATGAAATTAAATAAAAAGGTTATTTTTTCGTTTTTTCGTATAATATGGTATATATTTTCACTCAACATGATAAAATGGCACATATTTTCACTCGCCGTACCGGCTCGTGAAAATATGTGGCATTTTATCATGTTTCGTGAAAATATATTCCATATTTCACGCAAACGAAAAAATATCCTCTTAATATTTAAAGTTTGAAGTAAATACAATAATAAATTTTAAAAAATTTACGAAAAATATTTTTTTCATATGAATTCTAATTATCCCCCGCCGAAAGGCAGCGGGAAATATAGACATAATCTCCGTCCGATCGTCCGTTCATGCTTCCGTCCGTCCTTCAATCTGACTTTTTTGTCCGGAGCATATCTCAAAAGTATTTAAAGTATCAACTTGAAACTTTATAGGTGGATAGAGCATATTTATGGGGAGTTCAGTGCACAAGAATGATAAATCTGACCTGCATAAATTTTTCATTTATTCACCTGAGTTGGGCATAACTCAAACAGTCTTTGAGATGTCAACATGAAACTTCATAGGTGGATAGATCTTATTAAGGAGGAATGATGTGCGCAAGAATTGAAACCCTTCCCTTTATAATTATTTACTTCATAGGTGGGTAGATCTCACTCAGGAGGTGTGCAATGCACAAGAATGATAACTCTACAGTATTCACATAGGTTTCAAATCTGTAATCACTTCAGCCATGAGTTTTCATTACCAAAAGACCTCTTAAAATGGAATTATTTTGCTCTACTAAATATACATTCTTCAGTGGAGCATAACTCAAAAAGTCTTTGAGATGTCAACATGAAACTTCATAGGTAGATAGATCTCACTGAGGAAGAGCAGCACACAAGTATGAAAACCTACCCTGCATTATTTTTCAGTTTTTGCCCTTTGGTATTTTTCATGCTTAACTTTTGTCCAGAGCATAACTAATAAAGCCTTTGAGATATCAACATAAAACTTCATAGGTGGATAGATCGCACACAGGTGGTGTGCAGTGGTGCACAAGAATGATAACTCTTCCCTTCATAATTTTTGAGTTATTGCCTTTTGTTATTGTTCATACTTATTTTTTCTCGAGTGGATCATAACTAAAGAAATCTTTGAGATGTCAAAATAAAACTTCAGATGTCGATAGATCTTATTGAGGAGGAATGCTATGTTTAAGAATGATTACTCTACCCATTATAATTTTTTAGTTATTGCCCTTTGTTTTTTTCATACTTTTTGTCCGGAGCTTATCTCAAAAAGTATTACAGGAATCAACTTGAAAATTCATAGGTGGATAGATCTCATTGAGGAGAAATGCAGCGCACAAGAATGATAACGCTACCGTGTATAGTTTTTCGGTTATTGCCCTGTAGGTTTTCATGTTTTTTTTTCCAGAAAGTTAACTCATTTAGTATTTAATAAGATATTCACTTGAAACTCAAAATATAACTTAGTCTGCGTCCGTCCGTCCTTCCGTCTGTCATTTTTGTCCGGTGCATATCTCTAAAAGTATTTGAGATATCAACTTGAAACTTCAGAGGTGGATATATCATATTGACGAGTGCACAGAATGATAACTCTACCTTGCATAATTTTTCAATTATTGCCCTTTGTTATTTTTCAAACTTAATTTTTGTACAGATCATAACTAAAAAAGGAGGTGTGCAGTGCTCAAGAGTGACAACTCTACCCTTCATAATCTTTAAGTTATTGCTCTTTGTTATTTTCCATAGCTATTTTTCACCTAGGTGGAGCATAACTCAAAAAGTCGTTGAGATGTCAACATAAAACTTCCACTGCGAAAAATATAATGATATACGGGAATATACGGTCCCGTATTTTTGACATATACGGGCGTGTACGGGATGTATTTGTCGAATATACGGACCAAGTATACGAGTCCGTATAGGGAACATCGAATATACGGGAAGTCCGTTATATGCATCAGGCATATACGGAATTCCGTATTTTGCACCTATATAATGTACGTATATTTGTTCGTCATGTTGAAGTATACGGAGAATAAATCCCGTATACGGACTTTATCAAGGTTGTTATCCCTAGTATACTATAAAATAGCAAGGATATACGAGACCGTATTTTCTACATATAAAGAGGATATACGGACTCGTATTTTCTACGTATACAGAGGATATACGGAACCGTATATTCTACATATACAGATGATATACGGACTCGTATTTTCCACATATACAGATGATATACGGAATCGTATTTTCTACATATACAGAAGATATACGAATCGTATTTTCTACATATACAGGTGATATACGGAATCGTATTTTCAATATATACAGGGGATATACGGAATTGCATTTTTTAGTTGTACACAGGGTATACAGAACTGTATTATCGAGATAAAAGAAGGTACAGATACTATCAAAAGCATGCATTTACATATAAGTAACGCGTATACATGACCGAAATGCAGGCTTGTACAATAGAACATGTTTGATTACACATTGTGAATTGGAACTGTAAAGTCTTATGCTTAAGAACATTATCTTCACAATTGGAGTATTTCAAATAATAAAGTAAAAACCAAATCGAGTCACTATTAAATATTTTTTATTTCATAAACATATATTCAATATGTATACATATATATAACAAATAAACATGTCTTCGCTACAATAGTCATACTTATTCCAGAGGGACACATTAATGTAGCGTTGCAACGGAACGGCGATATACCGGTATGTTGCAATACAGAGTCATGAAATACGTATCACGGTGTAGAACATCCGCACCGCGATATTTTCTTTAGAGATCGAATTATACATGTAACATTTTTCGATATTTTCAAGCCGTAGCCTTTATGAATTGCATGTTGTTTAAATCTAGAAAACTATACTAAATTGAAGTTCTTTTCGATTTTATCTTAACAATGATTCATATGAGCCACTTATATTACACCATAAAACATTTTAAAGATATTCATATCATTTGCTCGTGTTAACATTCACATGTTATTTTAAGATAATGAGTCCATGGCACAAATTGATAATTACAGAAAGTTTTAATAATAAGCATTAAAATTAAAAATCCGTATTTTTAAGAAATTCGTCATTCAAACACTGTTCTTAAAAGCACTTAAATATATCAATCATCTATAGGCCAGTGTGACGGTGTCTATTTCGTGACGTAGGAAATGTTTTCTCCAGATATTACATTCTTCTTCGGCATGTGTGTATACTCGTGTGTATCTGAAAAAAAAGAGAGTTTAAAATCCTGTTTAAAAAGTGTCATGAAATAGTTATCAACAACTTTCAAAAAGTCTATACACAAGCATTTTTTTAAGCGTATACATATATACCATTTTTTTTCTTACGCAAATTTTCAAAATTATCTTATATCATTCGAATAAAGATGTCAATTATAAGCAACCATTAACACAGGATTTAAATGAAAAATGATTAATCTTTGACGGATGATAAGTTATATGTTTTTGTTATGAAACTTTTTACGAATATATTATTTCACACTTGTAATATAAATTATAATGGGTATCTTTGTTCTATGTAAAGAGTATTTTATTGATTAAAAATATATGTAAACAAAATAACATTGCATTGGGAAAAGTGCTGACATAATCTTTTTGATCGTTTTACGATGTATATTTAGTATCGTTAGTAGGAGTCAATTCGTTTGAAAAAATGGTTTAAAATGTACAGATATTTGCTACTCAGATGTAGATCCGTGTTTGCACAAATGATATCCAGTTAAGTAAAAGGCGGGATACCCAGCTATACTTCTCATTTATATAAAAACGTAAATTTAACAATTTGGATTATTGTTTGTTTCAGTTTCAATTTTTTCAAAACTATCTCATCACAACTTCACAGCAACGAATGAATACCTATTAATATACAATAGTGTATATTAATATTTTTTTATTGTTAAGACTGTTTAACTAGGTAAGTTGACAATAGAATCTCTTTACAGTGTGCCATCACTAAAATAAAGTGATAATTCTCACAAAAATTATAAATCAAAATATCCTCCCTTGCCTATAGCATTAATCTGATTGTATGAAATCCAATTTTCAGAAAATATACGTATCATATGTGACAATTGCATAAAATAACATAGGAAATATTTTAGTTAATACATGCGAATGCGACAGTATTACGTGCGCACGTGAAACATTTACGTATCAACGCCATATCATTGATATGTTTCACGTGCGCACAAGTACTGTGCGTTTAGTATAATAATTAATTGACGAGGTGGTTAAGTCCACCATCCAGGTTTAAAACAGCTATCATATTGTGTTTATTATCTTCAAACAGGCTAGCTATATAAATTAAATTATCAAACAAAATTTACCAACTCTCAGCGTAATGCAGTAGGTAAAGTTGTGGTAAATATCAATGCAATACAGCTAGGCTCGAAATGCACCTTTTTTCCCAAAAGTATTGCTTTATAATTGTCAATCAAGTAAAAAAGTTTTGTATTATTTATTGCAAAGATTATAAATTGCTGTGCTATTTTCTATTAACTTCTCATTTTGTTTTAAATGTAGCTGTATTTTAGCCCTATTTTAGCAAGTTGGGCAAATTTATACGGAATGCATGATACTGTACACAGACTGTTTCAACTATAGTTACGTTTGCACGAAATACTCCTGCACTGCAAAAGTACTATGACTTCTACATACTACACACACTATACAGGATAAAAATCACTATCATCCGTGCATGTATATCTAAATTATTAATATCATAACAAAACTACCTTTCTATTCCAATTCATTTTTCTAATGTAAAATTAAAAAAAATATATGGTAAGAAAAACGCAAAAAAAAAGTGAGACAACTTGTGAGGCTCGAACTCGTGATAAAATTTAATGTGTATGACATTCGAATGACTTTAATAACTTTGCCATCAAGACATTTCAAATTCTGTTTCTTATCTTACATTATATTCGCTTCTGAAAACCCTGTTTTACCTAGTCAGACAAAGGTTGTTAACTTTAGTGTACATGCAGAAAAGAAAATGTTAAGTCACTCTCACATTATCAAAGCGGCGTACTTATCGCTTACGCACGTAGTAAATAAAAAATTACTATCATTAACATATATAAAAGTGATTAAACTGTGAAGAAATACATATTTTTGATACAGTAATATGTTTAAGAAAAGAAAACTAATTTAATATAATAAAGTCGCATGCACAGCGAATCGATATCAAACAATTGTGTGTGTTGGAGTTGTATATATTTGATTTTTGCATATTAAAAGCAAGGATGTTTTAGCATTTTCAAATGCGCAGCAAAATGCTTATATGCCTTAATTGACATCATTTTATGACATCATTCCGCCAACAAGATATAAAAGAGAACCAATGTATTTATAACTGACCACATTTATTCATGTCAAAATAAATGCGTGTAATTAAGGAAATTTGACTTTTCCTTGAGAAAGATTAAAATACATGATGTCAGTACGGATGGGAATATATGAGTCTGTGTAACTCTTCTTTACAGACAGTACGTCCGTGTAATTGTCTTATTTTATTCACAAAATACAACAATTTATATACGTTAACTTACATCTATATTACTTGCTACCATACTTTGCTTCATCTATAATTGCTGTTAAGAGGGCACAGCTGCATTTCTGGAAGATTTAAACACGCTGTACACTGTCCTGAAAAAATCATAATATAACTTCATCATAAACTGATAAAGAGCACATTGAAAATATTTCATAAGTGATCACATGTGCGAGTGTTAATACTCTAGGAAAGTGTTCACTTTTATGTGCATGTGTAGTTATGTATGTTTGTGTGTTCGTGCGTGCGTGTGTTACCATATCGCTTTATGTGAAATATAAGTCAAAATGTGGAATGTCGAAAAAAATTGTGATGTACAAAGGCTCTATACAGTTAATTTATGTATAACGAAATATTAAATAACTGTTTCCTCAAACAGGCGCGTGTTTGTGACTGACCCATGCGATATCACCTTATGCGTAATGTTTATCTTAAAAACTAAATAAAATGTTTTGATTATAACAAGAAACAAATATTAAATTTTTAATTATTTGTCCAATAAAAATCCAATATAAATGTTGAAAACTCAGTTCATTTATATACAATTTAAAATCTGTGCTATCCTGAACAACGTAGATAAATAACCAAGAATATCGAATGAAAAAAGAGTTGTCTGTCCTGAATTGCGAGTAAACTCGATCTTGCTAATTACTAATTATGCTAAAACAATACAAACAAAACCGTTTTAAAACTTCTGGTTCGTTGCTATATTTTATATGCACGAGTTTTAAAATTCTTACACCGACACTAAGCTTCGTATCAATGTAAATATAATCATATCTTTTGACATCAAGGGTATTTATCTGTCATTCTTTGTATTAATGTAAATAAAAAATTCTGACACATATTTTTTTTATTCATCTAAATGTATTATGATATAAATGAAAAAAGAAATATTTGTTTGCTATTTTTGTTTCAGATTTGTATAAATTTATATATAGTTAATATAAATAAGAAATATATAGAAACATGTGTACAGAAACTTAAAAAAAAGTAAATAAAAATGAAAAGAGCGGAGTCTTTAAAGTGACTTATATTTGCATCAAATAATGGTGATTTGTATAAACATAAAAACTGTGAATATAAAACAAGTATTCTGCTCGTTGAATACTCAAGACTGAGAAAGACGACTTTATCTAAAAATCTATAAACATATTTTTTAGAAGTACTAAGCAATTTTCTTTTAAAATATGTTAATCTGTTAAATCTCATAATTGTTGTTATTATTTTGAATCAGGGTCTTTCAAATTCTATTTGAAAGACCCTGATTGAATAGATAAAAAATAACCTATTTTTCGGCTATCTATTTCATAAAGTACTATTAAAACAAATAGAATCTGAGTGTGTCTTTTTAGCTTGCTTGATTGCGCATTGACTCGCACCCCTGATTTTAGGTGATAATTGAGATCGCTCAAGATTATTATAAAGTCCAATCAGTTGACCAATCAAGCATACATAGGTCGTGTCACACACACTGATTAATCCTTTTGTACCACCATGTCCAGGGGCTGTAATACCTTGACATTTTCGATGTTTAAATGTCGTAATTTTTAACGTGGTGTCTTGTTTACCCTAAAGGGAAGTTATGATTAACGTATTTTAGAAATAACCTTTTCTTTTTTTGGTTTTTGCATTTTTCAAAAAAATTATTTATTAAACAAGATACAGTTTAGAAATCAAAATCAAACTCGTAACCTCAGAGTCTTAATTTGGGGATATAATCCTGCCAAAAATAGTATTGTCTGGGTGCTTGGGGACTTCAATATGCCAAGCATCGACTGGTCAACAGAATCCCTGACAGAAGGTTGTAAGTTCCAAACAATACACTTTTTTCCTTGAAAATGCTCTTAATTAAGACCTAGCCAGCAATGGTAACATCCCTACAAGGTAATGTCTTGACATGTTTTCAAAGAAATGCCTCCCTACATGAGACAAAAACCTACGTACCTTAGGCTCTCAGATGTATGAATAGATCTTTCATGAAATCAAATTAAAGAGGCGTACACCTCATATCAAAGAGGCCGACTCCATGTAGAATAAGGGCAAACTGGAATTGGTTTAAAAAATGAGAAGTAATATGCAAGGTCTATGAGTGAACAACACCAAGCGTCCACAAAGCTGGATTTCCTTCAAGGACGAACTAACGACTTTGTTTCTATTACAATACAAAAATCACTACAAACGTGAGATTTACATGGTTTAAACCAGTCCATTATTCCGAAAAATTTAGGAAACGTATAGAACTTATTCAAACATTAAAAGGTCAAAGTCCCCATCAAATGATCTGGTCAAAAAGCTCAAAGTACTTAAAAGTGAAATCCAAAGAGAAACTAGGAAAGCATACTGGCAATACCTAGACTCTGTCATTTTTAGCCAAGACTCCCAAAATGTGAAAAATAAAAAATTCTACCAATATGTTAAAAGTAATAAAACTGAAAGCTATGGTGTGGCACCCCTCAAATCAGAAGGTCAAACATTTACTGATCCAGTCGCAAAAGCAGATATCCTTAACTCCCAGTTTGAGTCTGTCTTCTCTCGGCCTCAGCCCCTTAGCTTATCCCAGGCTTGCAAACAGAAGCTTATTCCAAAATACCACCAATCTATGCCAGAAGTATCTATATCGGAAGATGGTGTGAAGAAACTTTTAAAAGACCTAAACCCAAATAAAGCTTCTGGTCCTGACCAAATATCCCCTAGGTTATTAAAAGAGCTCCATCAAGAGGTAACTCCCATACTGACCCACATCTTCCAGATCTCACTTAAAACAGGTATTGTCCCAGAAGACTGGAAGCATGCAATAATTGCCCAGTTTACAAAAAAAGGCCCAAAATGCAAACCCAGCAATTATAGACCAATCTCCCTCACATGCATAGCGTCCAAATTGATGGAGCACATCTTAGTGTCCAATATTATGTCCTTTTATGATAAACACAACATCCTTAGCCCCTATCAACATGGCTTCAGGTCAAAACGGAGTTGTGAGTCCCAGCTAGTAAGCTTCTCCCAGGAAATTCATGACAATCTTGAAAGTGGCCAACAAACTGATGTCATAGTCATGGATTTCAGTAAGGCATTTGATAAGGTGGACCATCACAAACTTGTGAGTAAACTAGAAAGATTGGGTATAAGTTATGAGGTTACAAATTGGGTCCATTCCTTCCTTAAGTCACGCTCCCAGCAAGTTGTAGTTGAAGGTCAAAAATCAGGAATTCTACCAGTTCTCTCAGGTGTCCCCCAAGGCTCGGTATTAGGTCCCTGTCTTTTCCTTTCTTACATAGATGACCTCCCAGATAGTGTCAAAGGTAAGGTTAGACTTTTTGCAGATGATACTGTTGTCTACCTAACCATCAGATCCAAACAAGATGCCTAAACCCTCCAAGATGACCTTCATGCTTTAGAAAAATGGGAAAAAGACTGGTCCATGGAATTAAACCCTGACAAATGTGAAGTTCTCAGGATAACAAGAAAAAGAAACCCTGTAATATTTCCTTATACCCTCCATAACATCCAACTAAACTCAACTCAAGAAGCGAAATACCTAGGAGTCTCTATTAGTCAAGACCTTTCATGGACCAAACACATAAACAACATCACATCTAAAGCTAATAACTCCCTCAGATTCATTAGAAGAAATGTTAAAACTCCAAATAAAAAGATAAAAGAAACTGCATATAAGACCTATGTTAGACCTCAGGTTGAATATTGCTCCATAGTTTGGCATCCTTGGCAGAAATACTTAATTTATAAGATAGAGCAAGTACAAAGATCAGCTGCTAGATACATTTTAATGATTATGACTATACAAGTAGTGTCTCAAAAATGATAAATGATCTTAATTGGCAAACCCTTGAAACAGCGTCGAAACATCAGTGCTGTAACCTACTTGTATAAAATCCAAAACAACATTGTTTTTGTAGACCACCAACACCTTACTCAAACAAGAAATCTGAACTACCTGATACCCTACTCGAGGACACAATATCATCAAAATTCTTTCTTTCCTAGGAGCATACGTCTTTGGAATAGCCTTCCCCTAACAGTTCAGTCTAGCCCCAGTTTAAACATCTTTACTGAGAGGCTTGACCCATTCTATAAATTCTAAACTGCACACTATGTTTTTAAATTAATAGTCTTGTAGAACTTTTATTCTTTTAACTTTTTAATTTGCACATAAATAAATTCTTTTATTAACTGTTCCCTGACAACGCGCCTGCTAGTCATAATCATAATTGATTGTTAAGCAGTATGATGTAGATGTAGATGTAGATGTAATTATCTAATCCGGCGGCCATATTGAATAGCGAAACAGCTTAAAAAGTGTTAAAGTTTTCTAAAAACAAATCAGTTTAACCCTGAAATAAGCTGTTGTTCACAAAATGCAACTATTTTATTGATCGCATATTGATATTACAACGATAAAAAATAACTTTTAACCTACCTTGTTTTGCAATATTCTGAATTTTATTAACCATCCATTTCCAATCGCTTTTTTTTTCTTTTTTTCATTTCGCCCGCGCTATTTCTGATTGGTTGATAGGATTCACGTGATACAAAACCAACGCTTTAAACTCATTGGCTGTTTTGAAAACGCGTGATATGCCTAGATACCGTTTGTACAATAAAGCATTTAGCATTAATAATGCCACGGATTTATATTAAGGTCCTTGATAATCCGGAAGAAACCAGCATATTAAGTCAAAATAAATTTAAATTTAATAAATATTAAATAGGAAATATCATGTATCCATAAACGCTTTTCATACATGTATAACATAAGCATTGATACTTTTTCATAGGCAAAACTTTAATTCTAATGCTTAATCAGTTATTTATTTTTTAATAATAATAATAATAATAATAATAATAATAGTAAAATTTATCATATATTTTAGTTAGACAACTATAATTAAATAAATGTATGTGTGTTTTAATAATAATAAGAAATAACTTATCAAGAGAATGTATTTTTTATATTTCTTTTCTTTTTGAGTCGAATTGCCAAAATTCTAAAATATTAAATTGCTTTAATAAAGGATTGATAATTAATAGTAAAATTTATCATATATTTTAGTTTGACAACTGTAATTAAGTAAATGTTTGTGTGTTGAAAGCTCAGTACTTATATTAAAAATAACTTTTTATTCATTATCTGCTCTAATGGAATAACTGTTCTGTTTGGGACTTTATTCATATTATGTCCCAGTTTCTATTATGCAGAAGACACGTTATTTCATTCAAATAGGCTTTAAAGCCAATGAGGACACAAAACATACAAAATAACCAACAGTGTATGACTTCAACATATATACATTATATCAACAATCATCAAATGTTTGGAGATGATCGATTTGATTGATAAAGAAACTACCTGCCAATTTTTCACGTAGGTACACATATAATATCAAAATTAATATTTAACTTACAAGTCTCTTACCAGGTACATTACACTCAAAGTTATTTCTCTTAAAAACAAAAAAAAACTCTTCAGTATCACAATTTTGACTGATATGATTTACACACTGCCAAAGAATGTTGACGTATAGTAATAACAATCTTAACACTTACAAAATAACATTCACATATTCACATGTATTATGTATTATCTTAAAACTTACAAAATAATATATACATATTCACATGTAATTCTGCAACTGTTATCATAATTGATATATACATATATACATTACATGAAATACTCATTGAAAATTGTAATTATTATTGACTTTAGTACATGAACAATATTGACATATGTGTCACGGTTCAGAACTGTTCACTATTAAGAGGAGAAAATGGTCGGATAGCACCATGGCTGCATATAGCTTAAGAGTTTTAGTTCGCATATTGCTGTAAATCTGTGAATTTGAATAAAGCAGGAGATTATGCCACTGTTCAGGAAAAGATTTGTAAGCGGCCGAATAGCTCAATCGGAGTCCCCGGTTCAAGTTTCGGTCAGACTGCACATTTCTCTCACACTGTGAAATACGACAAAGCATTTATAGATACAGTTATAGGATAAATCACATATCTTATGAACTATTTATTACACAATGATTATATACAATACTTCTTTTACGTTATATCTACGATTTTTACAAATGAGTTTGTTTATAATGAGCCGCGTCATGACAAAACCAACATAATGGGTTTGCGACCAGCATGGATCCAGACCAGCCTGCGCATCCGCGCAGTCTGATCAGGATCCAGGCTGTGATCTTACCAACCCTATTACAAGTAGAGAAACTGACAGCGAACAGCATGGATCCTGATCAGACTGCGCGGAGGCGCAGGCTGGTCTGGATCCATGCTAGTCGCAAACCCATTATGTTGGTTTTGTCATGACATGGCTCATATAATCACTTATGACTTTATGTAAATATTTTATGTTTATTGGAGGTGATTTATAGGCCCATTGGGCCGGGTATATTTGATATGTTGTAAAATTAGATTTGTAAAATAAGTTTACACATGTCATTAAAATAAATTACTTACTTACTTACAAGTGATTTTACTATCAATATATAATTTAGTATGTTCTTAACATGATTTTTTAAAACAAACTACGATATTTTTTTTTTAAACAGAAATTTACTCATACAAAAACTGTTTCAAAGATACATAATTTTATTTTAACCAGGGTACAAATGTTAATTTACATAGCACGGCCATGTTCCCCTGTCCTGTTCAAGTCACCGTTTATGCAGAAACACGGCTGATGGGAGACGAGAAAACTCGGGAGATGATGATGATATTTTTCAAGAAATGCTATTTCGAATAATTTGACATCATCTATCAACAATGCATGTACATACTCCCCAGTGACATCCATCTGATTCTAGCTTGTTAACTTAAATATAATTGTACCTGGCAGCAGTGTACTTCAAAATTTACTTTAAGATAAATCTTAATTGTGTCTTGTTTAAATGACGAATTCCGCCAGATAAAAGGATAATAACAACACGACGCTGCAAAACCATTTGAAAGAATACAGCAGCTATGTCTGTTTCATTTTAACATGTCAGGTTCGAGTCTTTATAATATCTGGAACAAAATCACATAGAGACTCGATTATGAGATCACAATTTAATTCCTTTATTTCGTACATGAATTATATTAGAAATAAACAGTAAAAATTACCGTTAAGACATTCAACACCAATTGCGCTAACTTACGTAATCAGAGAAAAGCGACACTCGTTACACCCTGCTGCGTTTATGATCAATATCCGGATCAATATCCGGCTATATCAGTATTGGCTTCGATTATCGCAATACAGCACGTGGCTATTACACAATATTATGTCATAAATGAGACCGCGCGGAAAGAATCAAAATTGGGGAATTCGGAACTTCATAAGATTTTTATGCAAAACTTGTGTACAAAAACGCAAATCTTTATGTTTCCTGAAAAAAGAGATTAAATAAATCATAAATAAATAAATAAATAAATAAATAAATAAATAAATAAATAAATATAAGAATAAATGAGTGATGAATGAATGTATGAATAAATGAATGAATGATTGGTTGATTGATTCAGTGAGTGAATGAATGAATGAATGAATGAATGATGGATGGATGGATGGATGAATGAATGAATGAATGAATGAATGAATGAATGATGAATGAATAAATGAATGAATAAATAGATGAATGAATGATTGGTTGATTGATTGATTCAGTGAATGAATGATGCATGGATGATTGAATGAATGAATGAATGAATGATGAATGAATGAATGAATGAATGAATGAATATGAATGAATGAATGAATGAATAAATGAATGAATGAGATATCATTGTTGATTTTTATTTACATATGCAAGTACATGTATTATATTATGTATAGCCTATTTTTTGTAGGAGATATATTAAAGTAAAATTTAAATGCTGTGTGGACAATCCCGAATTTATCTTGGTGATTTCACAACTATTTTAACTTTCACGATTTCAGCTTCACAGATTCACGATTTTAATATAATTAATTCATGTTTTGAACATCACAATTTCAAATTTATCATTTTCTCATGTTTGGCTCATCATCATAAAATATTATAATGATAATGAAAAAGAAAAAATTACAAAATAACATGATTCACCATAGATGCAAAATACAAAAAAGTACTATCTAATCGTCAATCGTAATTGTCAAGTATTCGCTATAACACAGCGGTATTGAGCTAGAATACCGCTTCTGCATGCTACAGGTGGATGTCTTACACGTTCTGTGCACTGACGCTATCATTCGCTATTTCTATATACAGAATCCGTATTTGCACGAATACGGAATTTCGTATTTTAGTAATATACGGACTTGTCATAAAAATTCCGTATATTAGTAAAATACGGACTTTGTACATCAAAATTCCCGTATATTACGAGTGTACGGAGTTCGTATACTAGTCATATACGGACTGATATAATATACGGTCCCGTACATCTCCGTATTTCAGGTTTCCCGTATTCTTACACGTATATCAATGATATACGGAATTCCGTACACTTCCGTATATCCATATCTTTTTCGCAGTGTTCATATGTGGATTTATCTTATTGAGGAGGAATGCTGTGCGCAAGAATAATAACATTTCCCTTCATATTTTTTTAGTTATTGCCCTTTGTTATTGTTCATACTTTTTGTCTGGAGCTTATCTCAAAAAGTGTTAGAGGTATCAACTTGAAACTTAATAGATGGATAGATCTCATTGAGGAAGAGTGCAGCACACAAGAATGAAAACCTTCACTGCATTATTTTTGCAGTTATTGTCATTTGATATTTTCTGCCATCAGTATTTACATAGGTTTTTAATCTGTAATCACTTCAAACATGACTTTGCATTTAAAATCGAATTATTTTGCACTACTACATATAAATTTTGCCAATGAGCAAACACATTCGGCGGGAGATGGTCATGTTAATATGGCTCTTGTTTCAAGTGGTGTTGATCTAAATATATTGGTGACAGAGTTGTGAACCTTGACGTGCAAAATCTCCATACTGTCATCTATCATTATTTCAAATTCATGAAAGATATTTTCGGTACTTTAGAGTTATCATAAATATTTGCCATATTTTAAGTATATTTGTTGTCTCCGCAAACCGAATTTTTCAACAAAGAAAAAACCCAAAGAGATGTGCATGTTCACCAAAGTTGAAATGTTTTCTGTACATTCTTTAATCACGGGTTCTAGTTTTGTGGACAGGGACAGGCAAAGAGACGAATGGATGGTAAGGTTGAAGTCCCCAGCAAAACTGTAGCATGTTACCATACTGTTGACAGAAATGTAATTTCTAAAATCCTTGTAATATATTTCGTTGTATTCTTTGCATAGAAAGTGATAAATATATTATTCACCTGCATTATTATCTCTGTATTATACACTGCTTGTAAAACATGTTTGAATCACTGACACAATAAATTAATAATAAGTTAATGTTAGTTTGTAACTTTAGGACAATATCTAATGAAACATTAAATAAAATTAAAAACTGGAAAAGTGCTTGCATGTAATGTATCTGTCATTTAACACACATGGGTAAAACATGATAAAATGTTCCTGAACAAAATATGATGCTTCTGCTTAAATCATTTAGCAATGCTATTGACACGAGAGAAAACCATTGCTGTATAGAAATTAGCATCTATCTTTTGTCGTCAACAAGCTCTGTTGTTATAGATACATTTATTAAGTATACATTATAAATATAAATATATAAATAAGAATACTTAATAGCATGTTTGGACAAATGAAATAGACATCATTATTCATAGATATGTAAATTATTTGTATTATTAACTTTTGGGTGACCTTTTATTTTCATTAGAAATACATTAAAGTACATCAATGCGTCCCGAAGATGTCCGTCGTTAACACTTTTACTTAAACCACACCCGTCCTATACCCCTTGCGTAAAAGTGACGTGATTCTTAAGTGGTATTCTACTTTTGCTCATTTTTCGGTCCGCTGAACGAAATTGCCATCAGATCTAACTAAAACTATCGCTGAATGCGATTCATACCCCCACCAATGTCCTTGACAGAATACGACTTGGAAAGGTGGTTAAGGGAATAACTTTAGTGGCACAAATACATATACATAAACAGAAATTATCTCTAGAGAAAAAAAGACAAATTTTACAGGAAATAGTATAAATAGATATTGTCAAATCATGTTCGAAACAGCTACAAATAACCTTTCAATTTCCCAATGTATGAAAACAAACAAAAGCAGTGAATCTAAGAAAATAGCATAATTATGTCAAAATGTAATTAAAAGTGGAAAAACTTTGCATACTAAGCTTACTTGTGACCCTTCATATATTATATAGTTTTAAGTGAATATCTGTTCTAGTTTCAGAAACATTTAAGTAATAATGGTTATATCAGAACATTTTCTAAGCCTAAAAGGGGCATAACTTGTGTCATAATTCAATGGAATTGTAGAATTTTCGTCATCTGAGCTTGCTTGTAACCATTCATATAAATTTTAAGTTTCAAGTAAATATCTGTTCTGGTTTAAAAATATTATAGTAAATAAATTTGAAAATGGACTTACCTTTGTCAAAATACAATACAAAAATACGCCCCGCCCCCCACTGTCTTTAGTTATGAAACTTGACCTGCATATTTTACTTGCGGCACTTCGTATATATTTGAAGTTTCAAATGATTATCTGTCCTAGT